CAATAGCACCACAGGCTGGTGACCAAGCTTTTAGCACATGGGCCTGTGGGGGCATATTTTAGACACAAATTATGGCAGCTGATATCTGGTGTCTTCATTTTGCTGTGTTCTTTGATGGTAAATCCATGTTTCATCTTTCTCGTGATTGAAAGGGACCACAAATGTGACTTGGGACAGGGCTTCTCAGCACCCATTGCTTATCTTGTGGCACTACCTTTGATCAGATATTGTCTGTTGTAGACGTTCTCTTTATAATCAGTCTCCCCAGCACAGTCGCCAAGACACAGATGCTCTTCTTTGAAGGGTCTTTTGAAGGCTCTTTTGCTATTTCACCAACTCCAGAGGTGATTTCTTATGGCAGCCCTGGGGGAGTGCTAGCCCCTCAGCTGGGTGCAGGGCACCCAGACATGTCCTTATACCTTGGTGGGGGGCATGGATGGCAGAGACTCAGGCCATAATGAGGAATCCTGCAGAAGGCACATCTTCCCGTTACCCCCAATCTAGCCAGACCCAGTCATTTATTTCTCAGCAAATCAGAAGTAACTCTGATCGGATCAGCCACTCTACTGTCATGGCCAAGGGAGTCTCTGGAAGACACCAGGGGAGACGGAGTTCCCCAATACCACATGCTGTCATAAGCCACCTGCTATATTTTGCATCTGGAATGTCTCTCAAGGCCTTTATTGAAAGCAGATAACCAGCCCATGGCCCTGTTGGGAGGTGGTGGAACCTTCAGGAGGTAGCACCTAGCAGGAGGAAGATAGGTCATAGGGGTTACACCCTTGAAGGAGATATTAGTACCCTGTTCCCCCACTTTGGTTTTTTTTTTTTTTTTTTGGCTTCTAGACCACCTTGTGGTGAGCAGCTCACCCTCATCATGCTCCTGCTATGGTGTTCTGCCTTGCTGTGGGCCCCAAAGCAATGGAGCCAACCAACCTTGGACTGAACCTCTGAGCCCATGAGCCAAAAATAACCCTTTCCTCCTTTTAGGTTGATGATCTCAGATATTTTGTTACAGTCATGGAAAGCTGACTAATCCATACTCTTATTTTTTCTGTCTTGGGAAAGTTCCAGAAGAAGGGACATCTCTGATAGACCCATTTTAATTCAACTGAGCACATAACTAAAAGTAATGCTGAGGTGATTCCATCAGAGTGAACTGACTAAACCCCCGGTCAATTTTGCTCTCTGCCTTTCCTTCCTGTAGTGCTGGGGGCTCCTGAGGACAAGCAACTCAGACATGGAGGAAGCAGAAGCCTTTTTCTCTACTCATTTGGGGGAAATGGTAAATGTGGGACCCGACGCCAACATGCTATGTTTTCCAAATATAGTTTTTATCCCATGTCATATACCATTTTCTAAGTTTTCATACACCCAGCTCTTTTTTATGTATTGGCAGCATGGCTGGACTTCTGTACTTCCAAGTTATAAATGTCACCTTTAATCATCTCTCCCACAAAAGGGACTCTCCACTGGTTTCACGATAATCAGAGGACAGTGTGATGAATGGAGCCTGGAGCTACAGACCTACTTGATGTGGGCACCAGGACTGGGGCTTGCCTAATGAGCTCCATGGTATATTTATGACCTTCATGTTTCACTTTCAACCAAAAGCCTAGAATACTTCATAAATATTATTTTATATCAAAATTTTCAGAATCACTCTTCCAGAAATATTTTATCAGAAATATTTTATCTCCAAAAGGGCTCTCAGGAAGTCAGAGTGATATTTGCGATCACACAGGACACAGGCATTCCGGGGGCTTGATGTGCAGCTAAGACTCCACTGAGAGCCGCCATGGACAGGACGTGGGCCACTGCTTTCCTTCTTTGTGCATGGGAGAGAGGAAGTCAGAGAGAGTCTGAAACTCACACGAGATCTCTGGATAAGACCAATTCTCCCTCCTGCCCTAAGGGCACAGGATAAGTCAGATGAAGGAGAAAAACGGAATACTTTCCTCTTCAAGGGAATAATAACATCTTATGTTTGGGTAGCGTTTTCTGGCTTACAGACTCCCTTACAGTCCTTCTCATTTAACCCTTGTGATGGCCCAGGGAGGGTGTGCTTGTGCCTGGGGTCCAAACACAGAAGGAAGCCTGGGAAGTGCTGAGGATTTGATCCGAGATTCCATGGCCAATCAGGGCTGTAAATGCTTCTTCTAGTATCCTGACAGATTTCTGGGCAAAACTAAGCTCCTCTTCATTTGTGCAACACCTCAAATTTTATAAGGGATGGTTCTATTTATTATCTCTTTTGATCTTCACCTTAATACTATAGAGGGGAGCAGGGAGTAGAGGAATAGTTCCTTATAATCCACAGTTTCACTTTAAACCGTCGACTGAGGTCTGAAAATACTAAATGGAAAATTCCAGAAATAAACAACTCATCAGTTAAATGAATGTTGTTACAGTATATCATCATAATTACTCTCTTTTATTGTAAGTCATTGTTGATTTCTGACTGGACCTAATTTATGAATTAAACTTTATCATATGTATGTTCAGGAAAAAAAAAACAAGATGTACAGGATTCAGTACTATCTGTAGCTGCGGGCATCCAAGCGGAGGCCTTGGAATGTATCCTCCACAGTTAGAGGGAACTTCTAGCACTTAACAGTTAAGAAGTCAGAAGCTCAGAGAGATGACACAATGTTCTCCAAGTGTGAAGCAATAGAGCGGGTGCTAATTTCTGGAGAAAGGGAAGCACCACCTGGTTATGGGAGAGTCTGGCCCAGGGGCTCCGCTGGCACCTCATACCCAGTCACCATGTGGGCTGAGAAAGTCCTGGTGTGGAAATGCAGGCCCGCGGCTGCTTTCTTTTCTCCTTCCAGATCACAATATGTGGGACAGCCTAGGCTTAAAGGACAAATCAATCTGGTGAGAATCCTAACCTCCCTGAGGACCTGACATTTACTAATCCCCCACAGCCTAAGTTTCCTGCTCTGTACAATGAAGATAGCAAAGAAACAAATAAACATGAGCACACGCATGCTCATACTCACCCTTGGGTCTGTGAGCATTTGGTGAACTCAGACCCAATGAAGGCTTCTCCTTGGCTAAGCAGTTGGCAGGCACTTTCTGAACCTTGTCCTGGCAGCTGCCTTCTGCAACAAGTATTAGAGCCTTTTTTTTTTCTTTTTTTTTTTGTACTAGGGATTGAACCCAGGGGTGCTTAACCTCTGAGCCACATCCCCAGCCCTTTTCAGTTTTTATTTTGAGACAAGATTTCAGTTGCTCAGCACCTCGCTAATTGCTGGGGCTGGATTTGAACTCGCCATCCTCCTGCCACAGCCACCCAAGCCTCTGGGATTACAGGTGTGTGCTGCTGTGCCCAGCCTGGGTCTTGCTTTATGAAGGACAGAGCTGGGGTTTGGGGACAGGGGTGGGTCTGGGGAGAACACTGACGCCAGAGCTTCCAACCCACATGTTCTGCTTCTCCTGGTGCCTGGCCCCTGATGAGGGCTCAGGAGATAGTTTTACTGTCTCTGTAACCTTTACCCTTTGCACGGAATCAGGAGATTCTGATGGTGTCCCTGGCCAGCCCATGTGGGAGGTGGCCTCTCAACAAATACCAGAAGAAAAAAAAAAGGCTCCAATAGGTCTGGGTTTCAGTCTGTGTCAGAGGATGTACATCAGTATGTGGGAACAATTGATCTTAGAGAAATGGATTATTTAAGAGGCTTAACACAATGCTGGCCTACTAGGGCTCTCTTCTGGTGGGGAGACTTTGAGAAAATTCACTTTTAATGAAACAGACTGATGTTAAAATGCTGTTAAGATGGTAAAACCAGTACCGCTTTGTGAGACCGATTCCTAAAATGACTATTTCTCTGTAGGGGTGGGATGGAATGAAATAAGTCATCTGTGGAAGGCTGTTTATGGTGAATGCTTCCCTCCCTTCTCTGTGGTACCTGTGGTCAGTGAGTAGGAGAGGGGCCCACCTTGGAGTGAGGAGTCTTGCCTCTCCTCCAGGCCATTCCTCTTTCCCCGTTCCCTGCTTCCCTCCTTCCTCCCTTCCTGCTCTCCTCTCTGCCTTCTTTCTTCCACTCCTCTCTCTTCTCTTCCTTCCTCTCCCATGACTCCTGCAGATGGGCCCGTGTCCTGAGACACCCCTGCCCATAGCACTTTAGTCTCCCTTAGAGGTGGATGATGAAGGGAAAAATGGGCCAGGGTGGCACCTGTGCACGAGGCCATGCGGTTAGTCTCTCTTTCAACCCTTACCGAGTCCCTCCTGAGGCCAGGCTCTCTGGACCGTGCACTGGGAGGTGGTGGTGGGAGGCAAAGGACCAGAGGTGTTTTTGTTTGATTGTTTTGTGGTGCTGGGGATGGAACCCAAGACCTTGCTGGTGCTCAGCAGCATTCTCCCACGGAGCTAAGCCTGGTAAGAGCTTTTGTAGAATCAGTTGGAACATCTGTTTGGTGGGCTGTGGGTTGCTTTTCCTGTAACTTGTTTTCCAGAAACTTGACGACCCCCAAGTGTATACATGGCTGAGGACTTATGTGGGGTGCTCATGAGTGTCGATAGAGCTTCCTGGGAGGTAAAGGGGACTGCTGTCCCTGCAGACCAACAACTTTTACCCGCCTGACAGAACTACCTGGTGTCAACATAAAGAATAGAAAGAAAAACTGGAGCAGGCCAGTTTTCCCACCCAAAGCACCCTTTTCTACATGCACAGTGTTCTAGAAGGAAGTGAAACAAAGCTATGCAGCTTGTGTGAGTCAGGTTAACCCATTACACCTCAAAAGGTTTCAATTCTGTGAATATTTCAACAAAAATCGACACAGGTCATTAAAATAGGTTGGAAATCATAACCTAAAGCTCATGCATGCTATGTATTTATTTTCAAATACTCTTATTTTTTCTCAAAAGAATAGAACCCTAGAAACATTATTTATTTCAAAGTGACCATAAGTGGTATATTTATTTTTCAATTTAAGTGTTTGTTTTTTTTTTAAAATAGGTGTTCTACCTTTAGGATGAGGGGACATAAAGGGTTGACTCAGCCAGAGTGGGGATCATTTTGTCAGCATAGAAAGTTAAAATACTTCACAAAGCCTTTGTCCAAAAGTTTTCCTTTTTTTTTTGACTTTATTTTATTAAGATTTAGGCTACATTATTTTTAAACCTTTGGCCTGTGAGTCAAAAGTTGAGACTCTGTTTCTTACCAGGACTATTCTAGCCTGGGTTATGTTTCTTCATGGGTAGATTCAATCTGGGGTCATTGTTTTCATTTGTGCTATGAAGGGCTTTGTTGAGGGAAATGTGGAATAAAGGATTGCACAAATTATTGCAGTGGTTGCCGCTGTCTTTGAGCAGTTCCCACACAATGAGCAAGCAAGTGTCAACTGGCAATAGGAAAATAGTAACTATGACCTTAGAGTATTTCTCTGATTGTGAAGTCCAGCTACTTCTGCAGGAAGTAGGAAAATCATCGTTAAGTCCATTCACGGTTAAACTTGGAATACATCTGTCATGTGCAGGATTCTGAGAAGGCACACAGATCAACTAGACTTCTGCATGATGCTGCTTTGTGAATTAAAAAAACATGTAAGTGACACACAATGAACTTGGCATACAGCCTTTGGTTTTGGCCTCAAATCAGCCAGCCACGTAGCTGCAGCAGATCCTTCTCCTTGATGGTCAAAATACACCCATCGAATGCTTTGGCTCACTCACTCCTTTGAGGAAAGCTGGCATCTGACATGGAAGTTCCGTTTCCTCTCCCTGGAAATGAGCTGAATTCCTGACCCACAAAAGCTCACACAACTAGATGGCTCACTGGGATGAGTCATTTGCAACACTGTTCTAGTCACACTTGGCCTCACACACCTTCATTATTTATCAGTTTTAAAAGCCAAATGCACAAGTGGCTGTTGTCCAGAGTGTGGACAGTGATCTGCTTATGCATCATTCGACTCCCCCAGGGCACACAGAGCTGGGCCTCAGGTTGACCTCTGATGACAGAAGCATCCAGAGCCCAGGGGCCTCTGATTCAGGGTTGCTGTCAGGGGAGTTTCATCGTGTCCTCCCCAAGGACAAGTTGCAGGCCTGGAGAAGACCAAGTGGCATTGAGGGAGGGCACTGCCGTGTGCCAGAGGGAACTCACTGTGCATGCCTGGATGGTCTCTCCATCTTCCTCTCGTCCCCAGTGGGAGGCAGAATGGCTTGTGCTCCTGTTTCCTTTCTTCCTCCCTTATGTCAGAGAATATCTTTTTAGTCTGTTGTCCTCCACAGTTTTCTTGTCCTCAGTTTTCCACGATCTTCCCTGGGTATATCTGAAGCACATTAATGCCATTTCGCTCATCTTTGGGACCTCATCACCTGGTGCTTGGTGCATCTTAAATGCATGAATGAATCAACTCATGAATGAATCCATTTTGACCAGCTTGGCACACACCACCCACACACACCAAAATGCCAGCAGGCACATCATTCACGGATAGAGAATCGGAACATATTTCACCACTGGAGACACGTTCTTATTGATTCAGGATCAAAACTGAGACGTGATAAACCAAAGACGGTGGACGAACAGTAAGTACCCAAAGATGATCTTAATAAGCTCTTTTAGTGCTAAAGAAGAGGCTTATCTGGTGACTTTAAGTAAGGGAGAGCCGCTTAAAGGGACACATAAGGAAATGGAGAAGTGAGGAATGTGTCACATGACCTGGACCTTAAAAGGACAGAGTGGGAGCAACCCCCAGGACAGGACTGTGTCATTCCCCCCCCTCCCCCATGGAGCAGGCACGGGTGGAGCTTCCTCTGCTGCCTGTGTCCCTGTGAAGGACACCCTCGTCCCCAGTGTTAAGGCTCCATGTCTACTGGAGAACAGCTTCATTTTCCAAGGATCCTTGTGGCCACGGCTTCCTCTCCCTTGGTTCTCTCAGGCTCCTGCTGCCTTCTGCTCTCTGTGGCCTGCATTCTCCTGAGCTTTGCTTCCACTTGACCTAACTCTCTGTATTTCACCTTTGAACTCCCCAAGAGGAGGATCTGATTCGCCTGTTACAGTGGTGAAAAATTAAACTGACCCCCAAGCCCAGAGCATGGGTATTTAAGCCAATTAAAATAAACCTGATAAAATAACCTGATAAAAATGTTCACTAAAACCCAGAAACTAGCAGAAAACAGAAGTACAATTGCTAAAGCTCACCTTCATATCCAGAGGAATGACTTTTTTTCTCTCTCCTTCCCCATTCTCCTATTTCCCTCCTGTTCTCCACCTCCATTCACTCTGCCTTTTCACTTCCACTGGGGGTAAAGGTGACATGTTCTTTTCCTACGGCCTTGGGAGCAGCTGTTTCTACCTTGTGCTCTGGCACTACTCTCATGGTTCTGGCTGATTTTCCCAGCCTTTCCCAGCCCTCTTCCCCTTCCTGTTCTCTCCTGTACATCTCCTAAACATGGCTGGGTTCTGTTTTGTACCACCACCATGTTAGTTCTTAGCTGTGTTCTCCCGACCTGGACTGAGCAAACCCAGGCTTCCAGTGGAGAAGTCAAGTCCACAGTGAAGCAGGTGGGCAGCATTGCCCAATGGAGGGGCCAGGGAGATCTGGTAAGACTTTTCCTTCTACTTTTGAATATTATGGTATGAATATGTGATGCCCCAAACTGCTGGCAGCCACCTCATAACCAAGAAGGAAAAAAAAAAAATCAAGAGAAAGCAGAGAAACTGACCCAGAGCCCTGATATCATGAAACCATTAGATTCATTGGAATTTTCTTCCTCTGTGTTTCTTGTAAGTCATAATAAACTCCCATTGTTAAGCCACTTTTAGAGACATGCTATTTGCCGATGAAAGTTCTCTGACTTGTGTCTCACACACCAAAGTCTCTTTAGGACCTGGTAGGAGAGACCCAGATTGGTGAATTGAGTCCAGAGAAGCTTGTTTCATTCAAGGCAAACAGGAAGGATGGAGAGGTGAGGGACAGGCTCCCTTACTGATCACTTTAGCCACAAAATAGTGACTACCACCTGGGGTGTCCTCTGGGATGCCCTCTTTGCCCCTGTGCCAGATGCTACTTCAGTCAAAGGGACTCATTCGTATCTCTCAGGAAAAGTTGAGAAGGAGACAATAAAGAGACCCAGAAGTGCGTCCGTCCTCTTGCCGGGTCATTGGGACGGGGTGAGGTGAGGTCTGTGCGTGTGTTAGTTCTCGAGGACTGTAGCAAATATTTTGACATCATCCACTTATAAAGAGAAACGGCTTAATTCGGCTCCCAGTTTGGGAGGTTTTAGGCCATGATAAGTTGGCCCTATTTCTCTGGGCCTCTGGCAAGGTAGCATATCCCACTGTACAAGCAGGGCACAGTGGGACAAAACCCACTCACCTCATGACCTGGAGGTGAAAGAGAGGAAGAGGAGGAGGTGGGGTCCCACCATCCCCTTCAAGGGAACACCCCCAGTGGCTGAAGACTCCCACTAGGCTCCACCACCTCCCAACAGTGCCAACCTGGAGGTGAAGCCTTTAACACGGGGGCCTTGGAGACATTCAAGATCCAAACTGTAGCAATGTGGGCAAGAGAAACGGTCTGGAGCCATCTTAAAAGGACTCCATTTGAGAAGTCTGCAGAGAGGAACATTGGGACAGCAACAGAGAGTCTGTGTGTGTGTGTGTGCAGGGTAGGGTGCATGGCTAGAAACCTGGGCCTGTGACAACTGTCTGACAAGTGACATCGTTCACAAGTGACATGGCCCACATTGAGTTACCTGTGGGTGGGAGAGCCCCTGCAAAGAAAAGTCTCTACAAAATAAAACCCACCCCACCTCTGTAGAAAAATTGGTCTTGGACATCTGAAGGGGACCGCATCACAAAATGAGCAGCAGAAGTCATGGAGAAATGGTAAATCCTCTCTGCCCTTCACATCTTCCAGCCCAAAGAAGAACCAAGCTGGAGAGACATTTTCACTTACTAAAAAAAGAAAAAAATTTTTTTTTTTTTTTAGTTATTGTGGAAAATTCTACAGAGGTACAAAAATACAATAATGAACCCCATTCACTCATTCCTGCTTTCAGTAATTATGGGTATTCTGCCTTTAATACTTTATCTGTTCCTCCCCAATACTGTTTTTCCCAGAGTATTTTAGAGCAGACCCTAGACATTGTATCATTTTACTGGTATGAACTTTAGTTTGTGTCTCTAACAGATAAGAACACTAACAAAATAAAACTACAATTCCCTTACCATGCCCAACCAAACTAACACTATTCCTATAATGTCTACTATCGGATAAGTAGTCCGTGTTCAATTTTTCCTCTTTGACTTAAAAATGAATTTTTTCAGGCATTCTTTCAAATTGGGATCAACACAGGACCCTTCCTTCCATTTGGGTCAAAAGCCTCTCGTAGCTCTTCCTTTTTTCTCCTGATGTTTTTTAACAGCCACAGATAATTTCTGTTACGTTCCACCGTTTCATCAGGGGTTGTAAAATTATGATTTTTCTATCAGTATAATTACTTCACCATTAATGATCTGGATTCTTCCATTAAGAGGAATCTGTCCTCCACCCCCACCCCCCGTTTACTGGTTGAATAGTGCTAGACTCTTCCCCTTGACATATTCAATCTCAGAATAACGTTTTGATGTCCTAGCCACCTCCAAAGTTACCTAGTAAGTTTGCAGTGAGTTTTTGTTTGTTCCATTTAGCGTTATTATAAAATGCTTGAGTTTTCATATATTTGATTGCCATCAATCTTCTTTTTAAGATGCTCAAATTGTGCTCTCTTTAGCACCCCAGTGCACCTTCAGGGTGCTTTATATTAGAAGTACCCTGGTCTGACAACCTCCTAGCCTTCTCATACATTGATACATTTCCTGTCCCAAATAAGATGCCAGTTATTTCTCCAAGGAGCCCTGGTTCCTCTTAGAGGAAAATGGTATTTAAAGGCCAAATCTGTATGGAGAAGCATTTCACTTTAAATGAATTTGGAGCTTTGAATATTATGTGAAATTGGACATTTTTAATTACAGAAATGATACTGTTCTAAAATAGAAGAAAACACTTCCATTTTCTGAGGCTGATGAGAGTCATGGGACCTGCCCTAACTCCCACATTTGGCTCTGGGCAAGTAAATTAAATTGTAGCCTCAGGTTTTCTCATTTGTAAATGAGAATAGCAACACCTGCCTTGAAGGGCTAGATGATGAGGATGAGGTAAGAGAGCTCACGTATGGAAATCTCCTTTTGACACCTGTTCACTCAATAGGTAGTAGGGATGGTTTTCATCTCTGAGATGCAGCAGGGAGGCTGACCATGCTGGGGTACCAAGATCTGGGGTACAGGCTAGGGGGTTCAAAAAGGTGGCCAGATAGGAGCTCAAACCATTGCACAGCTGATCAAGGGCTGGCTGTGTATACGTGCTGAAGTGTAGAAACACATGTGTATGCGCAAATACACGGTTCTACAGTGGCACACCCGCATTGTGGGGCAGGCAGCCATATGAGATAGCTCATCAGGCATTCAGATGAGAGGGCTGTCATTAATGGTAATTGCAGTGATGGCACACAAACCCAGCATAGGAGCTGCTACTATTGTCCTGAGAATTCCTGGTTAGCAACCAGCACTTTGGAATAATGAACACATGATTGCATTGGGTAGTGAAAGAAAAGGCCACATGTCTGGACTCATTTGGAGGTTTGAGATGCTGCTGCCTATGGCTGGTCAGATGACCTGTAGGAAACAGGTCTTCACACGACAAAATGAAGCCAAATTCCTGGCTTTTATTAAGGGAGTTCACTAGGCAGGTAGTGTAGTTATGAGTACCAGAAATATTTTCAGATGGAGAGCTACATTTACAAGGAACAGGGCTATGAGGGAGACATGGTTTTGATTGTGGTTTATTGAGGTTTGAGTTTGTTTGTTACTAAGCACTATTATAGCAAAAGCTCACTGATACAAGTTTGTGTTGCAGAACAGTGCCTGGCAGTTAATGGTGAAGAAAAATGAACAGTGATATTGTTAACCTAGATAAATAACAGAGTATTCTCCTAAGATAATGAATTTATTTGGAAGTAAATATTTCAATACAAATATTCATGCCATAAAAAATTGTATGTATGTTCAGGGATGCAAAGGGAGATAAGAAGTTTTAAAGGTAAAATGAGGAGGGTTGTGCCAGTTGTTTTGAAATAATTCCCCTTGGCTAGAGGGGTCAATAACAAGGATGCACCATGTCAGGGTTGTTGCTGGGCAGATGTCTTTGAAGAAACATTTTTGGTGTAAGGTTACAGTGGCTGTTGTGCAAGGTTGTGCTCTGGCAATGTCTCTTGTGATGGTTCTTATTATGAGATATCCATGCATTTAAATGAGTTCCACTGATTCAAGACCTCCCAGCTCTACTTATTTATTTTTGTTAGGGTTTGACAGAGTGACTCCATTTTAATTTCTGACAACTTTCCCATCGTTTAGTTAACAACAACAATAGCACAGAGTATGGATGCCAAACTATGCTCTTTCTCTACCCACACAATTTTCGTATTTTGACAGATATGCGAAAAATTTTCATTGTCCTTCACTCCCTTTTTATTTTTCCTCCCTC